CGAAGGTGCTTCTGGACTCAAGTCTAGCTTGTCTTTTGTAGACCAGCACGGCTACCCATCGGAAAGCATCTCCATTGGAAAAAGAATCACATACTTCAGAGGAAGTTTCTCTTTAACAGCAGAGAATCATTGCCGACACCAGCACTAGTCATGAGACGGTTCTTGCCTACCTGCTGAATGGTACAGGGGCAGGCAGTTATACACTATGTCGTCAGGAGTCATTCTGTAGGCATAATATCCAAAAGCTGCTATTCGGTAATATCTGAAAGGAAGCAAGGAAAAGCCGAAGAGTTTAGGTCCTTTCAGTTTAGAAAAGAGGCAACTAAGCAGGGGACGGGGCAGAGGTTTACAAATTGTGCATGGGGTAGAGAGAGCTGACAAAGAGAACTTTTTCTCCTTTCCTAAAATACTAGAAACTCTAGGCTAGGGGTGTCAAACAAGCGGCCCGGGGGCCAGATCAGGCCCCCGGAGGGCTTCTATCAGGCCCGCAGTGGACCTGGCTGTCTTCTGATTCTTCTTCCAGTTCTGCTGCTGCTGCGTCATCGTAGGTTTGCAGCTTACAGATACACACCTCAACAGCATACTCAGGATTGCAACAGCACAGACATTTCGATGCAATAATTCAAAGCAAGAGGTGTCAGTTATCAGACACTGTTAAATAAACAAAATATTGCAAGGGTGCTAATGTTTTAAGCATGTTTTTAAGTTAAAAAAAACTCTTTGCGTTTGTGTCCTTTAAAGTTTATCTCTCCGCTACCTGGCATTACATTTTATGACACACATGGCCCGACCCAACAAGGTCTCATTTATGTCAGATCCGGCCCTCATAACAAATGAGTTCGACACCCCTGCTCTAGGCCATCCAATGAAGTTGATCGGCAGTACATTCAGGATGGGCAAAAGAAAATACTTCTTCATGCAACAAGGGATTGAAGTGTGGTACTGGATGCCAGAGGATGTAGTGATGGTCACAGTCATAGACAGTTTTAAAAGGGGGTAAGACAAATTCATAGAGGACAGATCCATCAGTGACTACTAGGCATGGTGACTAAAGGGAACCTCCGTGTTCAGAGGCAGTAAACTGCTGAATACCAGTGCCAGAAAGCAACATGAGGGGAAGGGCTTGGCCTCTATGCCCTGGGTTGGCACTTTAGAGGAACTGCTTGGCTACTGTGTGAGGATGCTGGACTAGATGGACCACTGGTCTGATCCAGCAGGGCTCTTATGCTCAAGGGGTGCATATGAATACAGGGCATCAAGATCTTCCTAGAGACAGAAATTTGGTGAAAGCAGAGCCACTTCAAAGTAAAAACTTCTAAAAAAAAGAAGAAGAGATTGGATTTATACCCCGCCCTTCACTACCCGAAGGAGTCTCAGAGCGGCTTACAAACTCCTTTCCTTTCCCCTCCCCACAACAGACACCCTGTGAGGTAGGTGGGGCTGAGTGACAGAAACTGCTCTTTTTCAAGAACAGCTCTTATCAGAACTACGGCTTCCCCAAGGCCATCCAGCCAGGTGCAAGTGGAGGAGTGGGGAATCAAACCCAGTTCTCCCAGATTAGAGTCCACACACTTAACCACTACACCAAACTGGCTCTCTATGCCCCGTGGGCTTTTCTCTTGGTGTGTAGCTTTTCTTTTCTTTTTTAATCAGGTCTGGCCCCAATTTCTGATGCATTTTTCTGCCTTTAGTTTACACTTCAGTTTTTTGGTTTTCCCCCAGGGTTTCCCCCAGCTATTTTGAGGCCACTTTTACCCTGATGTTTTTCTGGAAGTCAATGCTGAGACGGTTTTTTCCTATTGCGTAGCATTTCTATCAGTTTTGATTGCTCCATCTACCTGAAGCCCACTTTTCAATAACTGGACTGCCGTCCTTGTTAGAACACTCCCTCTTTCCACCACCCCCCATCCTGAAGACAAGTGACTTGGGTTATTTAAAAAATAAAAGCCCTAAACTATCGCTGTAGTGTTGTGGTGATAGTTTAAGCAGGTTCTCTTAATTCCCAGCTTTCGTTATTTTAAAAAAGTAAGCCTCCAGTCCCTTCCCCCCAGAGACATGAGGAAAATGGGCATGTCTTTGCAATAGAATGGGCTAGAAGGGGTGTCAAACATATGGCCCACGGGCCAGAATTGGCCCGCCCAGGGATTTAATCCAGCCCGTAAACTGCCTCCCTCGTGTGTTGTGTTATTAATCAGTAAAGAACAGAATTAAAAATCAAACAGCTTTGTTGTTAAGAGCAAGCAGGCAATAAAAAAATCAGCTACTCCAGTCAGTGCAGGGTCACGAAAGCAGGTGGGCGGAGCGAACAGGTGGGGGGGTGGGGGGCAGCGAGCAGGCACAGAGCCACGTGGCATTTCCCGGTGGCTGGGTGTGTGAAGTGGCGAGCGAGAGAAGCCTCTTTTCCTGCCCAGCCACATGCGTACCTTTTAATCTTGGCACTACTGCCTCCCTCGTATGTTTTAATGTTAATAAGCTTTGTGGGAGCCTTTTCAGGCGCAAACCCTGCCCCCTCTCTTGCGGCATCAGTCAGGCTGTCCATCCGCCTAGGGGTCCCTCTTCCATGTGGGTTCTCAAAAGTGCCTTGTTTTGGCCGTTGCTGCTGGCTGCATCTGGTTGGAAGCGCTGAGCACACTGGTGCCTGTGCTTCCCAGTCAATTCCAAACACCCCACTTCTTTGGGTCTACGTCAGTGCACCGGCTGCCGGAGCCCCAACTGGAAGGGAAGGCAGGTATTTGTTTCAGGAAGATCGTGCGGGCTTGTGAAGCTCATAGTGCCCAGCCATTTCATGTTCTCCCATGTCCTAGGCTCAGATGATTGACCATGAGAGCAGGCTGTGGAAAGAGTCTGCTCCCCATTCCAGGCAGCACTGGGGCATCAGATAAATAAACAAGATATTGCAAGCCTGTGAATGTTTTAAGTATGTTTGTATTTTGTTTGTATTTTAGGTAAAAATAATACCTTTAATTGTGTTTGTCTGTGTCCTTTATAAAGTTTGCATCTCCATTACCTGGCTTTACATGGCACACCTAGCCCAGCCCAACAAAGTCCCATTTATGTTAGATTTGGCCCTCATAGCAAATGAGTTTGACACCCCTAGGCTAGCGGATTACTTTTGTAAACAATGAGAGCTGGGAATTCAGAGAACCTGCTTAAACTATCATTACAACACTACAGCAATATATCGATATTTTAGGGCTTTTAAAAAAAAATAAGGGGATGCACTGACACCACCAATAACAACGCTGGTGACGACAGCACCCTCCAAGCTCATAGCCAGAAAATTTTTGGTGGGGGTGCGAACACCGGGAGCGGGAAGCCTAATTATATCATCACTAGTAACTACTGCGTTTTACGTAAGCTGCCTGAGCCTGTTCTGATGGGGAGGGCGAGATGTAAATCAAATAAATAAATAAATAATATTAATGACTTATCTAATTAGTGATAGGGTTGCCAAGTCTCACCTTGTTCTGGAGCGGGGGACTCCCGGGTCAATCCCAGAGCGCGCGCCGCATCAAAGTCCCATTTATGTTAGATTTGGCCCTCATAGCAAATGAGTTTGACACCCCTAGGCTAGCGGCTTACTTTTGTAAACAATGAGAGCTGGGAATTCACACTACAGCAATATATTGATATTTTAGGGCTTTTAAAAAAAAATAAGGGGATGCACTGGCACCACCAATAACAATGCTGGTGACGACAGCACCCTCCAAGGTCGTAGCCAGAAAATTTTTGGTGGGGGTGAGAACACCGGGAGCGGGAAGCCTAATTATATCATCACTAGTAACTACTGCGTTTTATGTAAGCCGCCTGAGCCTGTTCCGATGGGGAGGGCGGGATATAAATCAAATAAATAAAATTAATGACTTATCTAATTAGTGATGATCTAATTAAGTCTGATTTTCTGATTTCCTGATTTACTCCGCGGCGGCAGCATGCACCAACAAGAAAAAAGAAGTTATTTAAGGCTATTGAAAATTATTCATGTCTCTTTAAATACCTCCCCTTCTCTCGCTGGCACGTGCCACCACTACAGCAGGACTCAGGGAGGGAAGGGGAAGTACTTAAACTTTAATTACCTTCTCTTCCCTCCCGGAGTCACGCCGCGGAGGCAGACCACATCAGTGAGTTAAAGGAAGGTGTTTAAAGAGACATTTTTGAGCCTTTAGACATCTTTGGATTTCTGACACGACATTGTGATCACAGTCACAAAATGGCCGCCACGGGAGGTCAACAGCCCTGGGACAACAGACCCCCTTGCTGGATCTGAGCACCGTGTTTCCACACGGCAGCCAACAAGATGCAATTGAAGGGAACAAACAGGGCGCAGAGGCCAGACCTTGCCAGATGCCGCCTCCTAGCACTGGGTTTCAGAAGTTTACCGCCTCTGAAATTTACTAATTGTAAGAGCAGGTCTGCTGGGTCATACCAGAGGCACAGTCATCAGAAGACTGCACCAACACAAGGTGTGTTACATTACTCCTCCCATAATGCCAGCAATCTCAAGAGACAGAGAGGAAATCAGGGATGGTCTCCTCTCCTAGTACCTGGCTTCACAGAGGGGCTGTCCCCTACCCAGGTCCGTAGCCAGGATTTTGTGGATTGTGGGGCAAATTTTTTTCCTGGGGGGGCTGAAGTTCTCCGTGCAAAAAGAAAAGCCAGAATTCTGTTAGCAGGATAGATCTCTAATTTGCAAGCTGTCCACCACTTTAGATGGCAGTTCTCAGCGGCTGCAAGTTAATCACTTCTGCCAGCCTAAGCAACAATTCTGAGAACAAGCTGGCAGGTGGGGGTGATGAAAGCTAACATTCGGGCAGAAAATTTCTCTTAAAGGAGACCAGTTTCTTCACACAGAGTTAGAAGGTATCCTAGAGGTCACCAACTCCAACCCCCTTGCTCAGCGCGGGAATCAGCCAACTACAGCACCCCACTCTGCTTAAAGAAGCGCACACCTTTAAAAAATGTTTTTAAAAGATTGAAAAAACCATTGACAGGACAAATTCGTGTGGGGCGGTGCCTTTAAGAAAGGGGGTGGAGCCCCCTAAAAACCCCACCGTAACAATGGGCCTGCCCCTACCCCAGTTTCCAGTAATCCATGTACAAAATTAAAATGTCCACAAATGCTGAACGCTGGCAGGAAAGACCTAGTGACCAGATCTTACACGTGGATGCCCCTCACCTGCTGTGCACTACGATGGCAGCCTTTGGCATTCCAGTCGTGCCCGAGGTGTAGATATAGAACAGTCGATCTAAGGGAGAGAGGCAAGAATCAGGCAGGAGTCGGCAGCACGCTCAGCTTGGCAGCGTGTCTATCTCCCAGGCCGCTGCTTTACTAGCAGAGGCCGACGCAATCGGCAAAGGCGCTGCTGAGCCAGCAGGCTCCACCCGCGACAGGTCACAGCCCCCGATGCCAAAGGCAGTTCTGCTCTCTGCACGGATCACAGGACTTCCTCAAGGGGCCGAGAACTAAAGCTGGGTGCCTGGCCAAGACATCTGAAACGTGGATCTGGAAGAAAGGCCAAACAGAACCCGCACCCGGGACAGGCAACCCTGAAGGAAGAAGAACTGTTGGCATCCCCACTGGACCCCGCAGGCAAATCTGTGAGTCCCTGGAGAAAGGCATCTGTCTGTAAGGCTGACCTACCGTCCAGTCCCTTTGCTGAAACTGAAGGGAACAAACAGGGCGCAGAGGCCAGGCCTTGCCAGATGCTGCCTCCTAGCACTGGGTTTCAGACGTTTACCGCCTCTGAAATTTACTAATTGTGAGAGCAGGCCTGCTGGATCATACCAGAGGCACAGTCGTCAGAAGACTGCACCAACACAAGGTGCGTTACATTACTCCTCCCATATGCCAGCAATCTCAAGAGACAGAGAGGAAATCAGGGATGGTCTCTTCTCCTAGTACCTGGCTTTACAGAGGGGCTGTCCCCTACCCAGGTCCGTAGCCAGGATTTTGTGGATTGTGGGGGAATTTTTTTTCCTGGGGGGGGGCTGAAGTTCTCAATGCAGAAAGAAAAGTCAGAATTCTGTTACCAGGACAGATTTCTAATTTGCAAGCTGTCCACCACTTTAGATGGCAGTTCTCAGTGGCTGCAAGTTAATCACTTCTGCCAGCCTAAGCAACAATTCTGAGAACAAGCCGGCAGGTGGGGGTGATGAAACCTAACATTCGGGCAGAAAAATTCTCTTAAAGGAGACCAGTTTCTTCACACAGAGTTAGAAGGGATCCTAGAGGTCACCAACTCCAACCCCCTTGCTCAGTGCGGGAATTAGCCAACTACAGCATCCCACTCGGCTTAAAGAAGCGCACACCTTTAAAAAATGTTTTTAAAAGATTGAAAAAACCATTGACAGGACAAATTCGTGTGGGGCGGTGCCTTTAAGAAAGGGGGTGGAGCCCCCTAAAAACCCCACCGTAACAATGGGCCTGCCCCTACCCCAGTTTCCAGTAATCCATGTACAAAATTAAAATGTCCACAAATGCTGAACGCTGGCAGGAAAGACCTAGTGACCAGATCTTACACGTGGATGCCCCTCACCTGCTGTGCACTACGATGGCAGCCTTTGGCATTCCAGTCGTGCCCGAGGTGTAGATATAGAACAGTCGATCTAAGGGAGAGAGGCAAGAATCAGGTAGGAGTTGGCAGCACGCTCCGCTTGGCAGCGTGTCTATCTCCCAGGCCGCTGCTTTACTAGCAGAGGCCGACGCAATCGGCAAAGGCGCTGCTGAGCCAGCAGGCTCCACCCGCGACAGGTCACAGCCCCCGATGCCAAAGGCAGTTCTGCTCTCTGCACGGATCACAGGACTTCCTCAAGGGACCGAGAGCTAAAGCTGGGTGCCTGGCCAAGACATCTGAAATGTGGATCTGGAAGAAAGGCCAAACAGAACCTGCACCCGGGATAGGCAACCCTGAAGGAAGAAGAATTGTTGACATCCCCACTGGACCCCGCAGGCAGATCTGTGAGTCACTGGAGAAAGGCATCTGCCTGTAAGGCCGACCTACCGTCCAGTCCCTTTGCTGAAACCTGAGCTGGAGGAGATTTTGAGGCCAGAGCCAGAAGAGGATCCAGGTGCCTGGTGTCCGAAGTGATGGAGTCAGGGCTTATGTCTCCGGTCCAGAACTTGACCATATTTTTCCCCAGCATGCCGTTCACCTCGGACACCGCTGCAGCAACAACAACAACAACAATCAGGGCACTTTACAAGTAGCTTTGAACTAGAGACACCTGGCTCCCGCACGGCTTCCTAATAGGGTTACCAACCTCCAGGTGGGACCTGGAGTTCTCCCGGAATGACAACTGATCGCCCGGTGACAGAGATCAGTTCCCCTGTAGAAAATGGCAGCTTTCAGAGGGCAAACTCTACGGCATCCAATGCTCCCCCTCTAAGCTGTGGAGTCCTGCGAGCAAAAATTCAACTTTGTGAGCTACCGGCACTAAAGTTGTGAGTGGGCGATTTGGCTGCTGCATAAATCAGTCTGCTTTGGAGCCACCCTTCCTGAGCGGAGACAAAAATGTGTGAGCCGGAGGCTGAAAAACTGTGACCTGGCTCACACTAACTCAGCTTAGAGGGAACACTGATGGCATCATGTGCCTACTGAGCTCCCTCCCCCTCCCTATATTCCGCCCTCCCAAAGGACCCCCCCCCATATTTCCAGGAATTTCTCAATCCTGAAGCGGGCAACCCTATTTCCAAATGTCCCTGTGAAGAGGAGCTTTCGTGAGTCACTGCTCACTTCTTCAGAGGGCTCTTTTTGTAGCAGGAACTCCTTTGCATATTAGGCCACACACCCCTAATATAGCCAATCCTCCAAGAGCTCTCAGAGCTCTTCTTACAGGAGCTACTGTAAGCTCTTGGAGGATTGGCTACATTAGGGGTGTGTCGCTCAATATGCAAAGGAGTACCTGCTACAAAAAGAGCCCAAGAAGAAGTGAGCCAGTGACTCACAAAAGCTCCTCCCCTGCCACAAATGTTGTCAGTCTTTAAGGTGCTGTTCGACTATTGCACTTTTCTACAGATCCCCAGCTTGGTGCCTGAGGGAGCAAGCGTCTTTCAAGAATCATGCTCCAAAGAGGTTCCTCCTCTCTGACCACTGAGGTTCTGCCTGGAAGCAAACAGACGGAAGCCCCACCTTCCGACAGCTCCCCGCCGAAGATGAGGGCTTTTGCCCCTGAGGTCTTCACGCAGTACAGCAGCGAATCGAGGCGCAAGTTGAAGTTGATCAGGGCGGCCTCGATGCCCACTTTGGCCATCCCGAGCCAGAAGCCCACAAACTCCGGGCGGCTCTCCATAAAGATGGCGACGACGTCACCCGGGAGGAAGCCCTGCTCGGAGAAGAAGTTGGCCACGGCGTTGGAGAACTCATCCAGGCGCCGGTAGGTCCACTTGTCGTCGGTGGCCTCGTAGATCAGGGCCGCTTTCTCCGGGTGCCGGCGGACCACATCCCGGAAGATCTTGGGCACGTTGCTGTTGGCTTTCCGATGACGGTACAATTCATACTTGACCTGAATAAGCACTGATAGGCCCCTGCAACGAAAAGAGGAAGGCCTCGGTTAGTAGGACTCAGAGCGTCGGGCTCCCAACCGGGAGGAGAAAGGGCTGCAGAGTAACCCAATACCGGGGGGACTGCCTCGTCCAAATGCTCGCCCTTCCAGAGGCAGAAGGCCGGGGCAGGCGGCAGGGCTCTCGCAGGAGGGTTAGACCAGTTCACCTGCTGGGAGAGTGCCCATCACCTACCAGCATAGCCACCAATAACATCCACCAAGGGAAGATTCTACAGTCCACAACTATATAGGCTCAAAACTGTATATTACATTCATCAAAGTACTAAGATGGGTTAGTGGCCATGTCCCAATAGAATGTATAGGCACGTATCCAACAGACTGCTCATAACAATTAAGCATTATTTACAAAAAGAACGTGTTCAACACCAACAGTAGGCTCCTCTGTAATTCCAGGCATAAATAGTGTCCCTAGGCCTCCGAACTGAACTGTGAAAGAAGACGCCCACTGCGCAAAGAATAACAGCCGTACATCTCTCCCAGGTATAAATCAAGACGTTTCAATGATCTTCAACAGCAGCTGGTAAAACCGAACCCGGTTTCCAAAATAACACAGGCGCCGCACAACCAGTCCCATAGCCAGGATTTTTAAAGTCATTTCTCAATCAATTTAAGGCATTTAAATTCCTTAGGGGGCACGGGTTAATCAAATTAAAAGTAATTTAATTCAGTTTCTAGAGGAAATAGAGAGGTGCTTTCTGGCTCCACATGGCCACCATATAGGGCTGCCAAGTGGGGGCGGGGGCGGGTAAACCCCCGCATTGGAGGCCCGATTTCCTCCACCGCGGAATCGGGCCCCGGGGAAACCCCACCCCCGCGTGCGCGTCACCAGGAAGTGACATGGGCATGCTGGGGGCGGGGCCACGGCCATACAAGGCCACCATATAGGGCTGCCAAGTGGGGGCGGGGGCGGGTAAACCCCCGCATTGGAGGCCCGATTTCCTCCACCGCGGAATCGGGCCCCGGGGAAACCCCACCACGGCGTGCGCGTCACTAGGAAGTGACATGGGCACGCTGGGGGCGGGGCCACAGCCATACAAGGGAAAACTCTATGGTTTTCTCTTGTATGGCCGTGGCCCCGCCCCCAGCATGCCTGGCATCCTCCCGTCACTTCCGGGTGACGTGTGTGCGGTGCACGCGCGCTTCGCACACGCACACACGCACAAGACGCCGGCCGGGAGCCCCCCGCTCCTGGCGAAGATACACTTGGCAACCCTACCACCATAGCTGGTCCTTCGTGCCAGATAGCTGTGCAGGAATACTCGGCTCCTTCCCCACACATACTATTGCTGGGGGCCCTGGGCTGGATGGGAAGTCAGGGGGCCTAGCCCCGAGCTGCCCCACTGTAGCTACAGGCCTGCGCACAACTCAATCTTTTCCAAAACAACAGAGCCGTTCTCATGGGAACCCACATTCCACACCCATCCAACTCCTTGGCTCATTCCCCTCCATCCGCGGCTTTTGCTTGTGCAACAGGGGAGAACAAAGCCGGCCGACTCCCCCTTCCCGCTGGGGACACACATGCTCTTTCCAAGAGGCAGGCGAGGAAGGGAGCCAAAGAACAATTCCCTGCAGTCATTTGGATCCAGGGCTTTTGGTACGGCACCAAACAAAGACACGGGGCGGGGGAGAATGGAATCACTGAGATCTTTGGAAGGGCCACCATCAAGCGCCAGCTTTTCCGTCATGCCTAGACCCAGATCCAGCAGAACACCCTCTCCTCCAAGCTTTTAACTTGCCCTCAAGAGGACAGGTGGGACGTGGGGATCCCCTGGAATTACAGCTCATCTCCAGACTACAGAGATCAATTCCCCTGGAGAAAATGGGTGCTATGGAGGATGGGTTCGATGGCACTGAGCCCCATGGAGTAGGCTTTTACAACTGGAATCTTAGGCTTGCCAAGTCCCCCCGGGGGGGCGGGAAACCCCCCGCCCCAGAGGCCCGTTCCCTGGCGGCGCCGGATCGGGCCCCGGGGGGAGCTCCTCTCCGACGTGCATGTCACCCAGAAGTGACGCGACCACGCCGGGCATGCTGGGGGCGGGGCCACGACCATCCGAGGGAAAATTCTATGGTTTTCCCTTGTATGGCCGTGGTCCCGCCCCCAGCGTGCCTGGCGTCGTCACGCACACCAAATACCAGCCGGGAGCCCCCCTGTCCTCCCCAGTCTCCACCCCCAAATCTCCAGGAGTTTCCCAACCTGGATCTGGCAACCCTAACCCACCCCCATTCCTTGCCGGTGGCCTGGGGGGGACCAGGCAACGCTACAAGAGGACCATCAAGAGGGTGGGGAGAAGCAGCAGCCAAGCACCAATTCCACACAGAGAAAGAAGCCCAGCCCACACAGTGACTGACAATGCCTGGCTGCCGAATCCCTGGTAACCCTTTTCAGGGGTTTGGTTTCCTGTAACAACAGCTGTGACAGGAAGACCTTGAAAACTGGGAAGATGACACTGGACCGTCTGCCCGCCAGCTTCGAGTGTGTTGCGAATGTGTTGAATTTTCAACGGAGGTTGCAAAATGCCTTCAGGGCCATATTTGTCCGACTCTTCGCGACCCCATGGACCAGATCACGCCAGGCCTTCCTGTCTTCCGCCGTCCTCTGAAGTTGACTCAATTTCATGTTCGTTGCATCGATGACACTGTCTAACCATCTCATCCTTTGCTGTCCCCGTCTTCTTTGACCTTCAATCTTTCCCAGCATCAGGGTCTTCTCCAGTGAGTGCTCCCTTCTCATTGGGTGGCCAAAGTATTTGAGCTTCAGTTTCATTATCTGGCCTTCCAGGGAACAGTCAGGGTTGATTTCTTTTAGGATTGACTGATTGGATCTTCTTGCAGTCCAAGGGACTCTCAAGAGTCTTCTCCAGCACCACAGTTCAAAAGAATCTATTCTTCGGCGCTCGGCCTTCCTTATAGTCCAACTCTCGCAGCCATACATGACTACTGGGAATACCATTGCTCTGACCATACGGACTTTTGTTGGCAGGGTGATGTCTCTACTTTTTATCATGCCATATATGGTGGGGTAAAAAAAAATCCTTTCAACTAAAAATTAATAATAAAACAGCAAGTTCTGCACCCAGACTAAGTGGCACTAAGAAACTGCATGTGAAACTTGCTTTTTTTGGTGGGGGGAGGTGGAATGAATTTTGCATACCTTGCATATATGGATGCCTTGCATATATGGATGCCAGCTTCAAATTGGGAAATACCTGGAGATTTTGGGGGTGGAGCCTGAGGAGGGTGGGGTTTGGGAGGGGAAGGACTCCAGTGGGGGACTTCAGCCCTGGATACCACAGAATCCACCTTCCAAAGCAGCCATTTTCTCCAGGTGACCTGATCTCTGTCGGCTGGAGATCAGTTGTAATAGCAGGAGATCTCCAGCTGCCACCTGGAGGCTGGCAACCCCATTTGCATACTGCTGAAAGTTCTGCAACCTGGAAGCTTTTCCCAGCAACAGGCGGCCCATTGACAGAAAGAGGGAGAGTGAACGAGGCAGACAGAAGAGGACAGGAGCAATGCTCCCTCTAAGCTTGTGGAGTCTTGTGAGCAAAGAGCCTACTTTGTGAGCTACTGGCATTACTGAGCAAGCAATCTGGCTGCTTGCATAAATTAGTTTGCTCTGGAGCCATCCTTCCTGAGCTGAGACAAAAATGTGTGAGCTGGAAGCGAAAAAACTGTGAGCGAGCTCGCACTCACTCAGCTGAGAGGGAACACTGGACAGGAGAGACGGTGTCAGAAAGATGTGTATAACTCAAAGCTACAAAAGAATAAAGAAGTCAGATGTCCAGACGCTTGGGCCTGCATATTTTCAAAAGCCTCTCTGCAATCATAAGGTGTAGAAACCCCCCCCCTCTTTTCTGCTGAGAGGCTCAGGAATCCAGATTCTCCACCACCTCCCCCTGTAATCTCAGTACCCATTCACGTGGCAAACCGGGCTCCTGGTAGTCACTGGAAACAGCTATCCATTTCAGTTTCCTGGCCCACAGCTAGCTGGTTGCCTGCAGCTGTCATGCACAGAATTAAGCTCTGCATTCCATTACAGATTTCCACGGGTGTGAGCAGGGGGTAGGTGGAATAAGGATATCGCAGACACTCCGGGGGCCTCGTTCTAAAGAGCCTCATTCCTCCCCCCCCATTCAGCCACGTCCATTTAGCATGACCCCCTCCCATCTGCAGCCAGGGACTTTCTCTTTAAATGACTGGAGAAATGGAATGCCCAAGAAAGTGATGCACAAAATGCTCTTCGGTCCTATTCTCACCATAGCTCAGTCAGCAGAGCATGTGTTTTATATGCACAGGGCCTTAAGTTCAAGACTAGGGTTGCCAGGACCAATGTTCCCTCTAAGCTGTAGAGTCCTGTGAGCAAAATTCTATTTTGTGAGCTACTGGCATTAAAGTTGTGAGCAGGTGATTTGGCTACTGCATAAATTAGTGTGTTCTGGAGCCCTCCTTCCTGAGCCAAGACAAAAATCTGTGAGCCGGAGGCTTAAAAACTGTGAGCTAGCTCACACTAACTCAGCTTAGAGGGAACACTGGCCAGGACCAGTGGGAAGGTTTGGGGGCGGGGGGCGGAGTCCCAGGAGAAAAAAGAAAAATTCCAGAAGTTCTGACCATAGAGTTCCTTTTGATTCCTAGAACTACCCAGAAGTGCCATGGAACCAGAAAGTATGATCTTACCGTCACCTCCGGAAAGCTCTAGGAATCACCAGGAACTCTATAGTTAGACCTTGTTGTAAGTAGATGAGGCCTGGTTTTCCTTTTAACTCCCCCCCCAAGATGACTGCACCTCCCCTAGGGTTGTCAACCTCCAGGTGGTGGCTGGAGATCTCCTGGTATTACAACTGATCTCCAGGCGACAGAGATCAGTTCCCCTGGAGAAAATGGCTGCCTTGGAAGGTGGACTCTATGGCATTGTACCATATTGAAGTCCATTGCCTGCCCAAACCCGACCCTCCTAAGACTCCA